CCCCTCCTACCCCCCCTCCCCCGGGGGCCTCGAGGTCTCGTGCCCCGAGGCCCCCCCATGAGACCTGCATTATATAGATTTATTAGATAACCCAACAGTAGCTAAAAAGAGTTCAAAGAAGTGTACACCTAGAAACACTTAAACTAAATGCTTTAACTTAACACACTAACAAGAGTGAATGTGAGCAATACCAAGTGAAGGAGAAATAGAGAAAGAAAGATAGTGTAGTTGGAATGCAAGTATAGGACACATGAATATTGAACGAGGAACCTAACATAGTTATTTTATTTTATTTATTTGAAAGAGATAGAGAAGTAACACGGGAATATGTAATATGTCCTAAAATTCCTACTTATTATTTTGATGAAAGCTAAAATCCTAACTAATTTTCTTTAGCTTCTTCAGTTTTGAAAGCTAAAGTTCCCTTCAAAGTAAGAAAATCGACATAAATAATCTTCTACGCCTCAATCACAAATTAGTTAAGGTAGGCTACTTGAATCCTTTGAGTACATAGTTCCTATTCAGTCCATTCAGTAGAAATGAATTCACACTAGCCATTAATCTACTGCAGCCTTCTACTTGATTTGTGTTTGATATTGCTCTGCTTTGTGAAGCTATCACATGCAGACTCTTCCACCAACATGAAAACTATTACAGCATGTTGCTTAGATCATGGTTAGCAAGATATTCAACGACTAAGTGTAATTTGCATTTATAAAAGGAAATTTAATTGAACATTGAGAAAAAACAAGGTTTTTTTATACTTCAGTGCATTTATCAGAAAGTATACGAAGACTAAAGACAATGAACACCACTCAAATAAGAAAACACCAGAAATTTCGATACTAAGCCAGACCAGACAACACTACATGCATTTCTCTATCCCTCTTTTGTTTTATTGGAGTGAAGGGGAGTGGTTGAGGATAAGTAACAGCTAAACATGCATCTACTATGCACATAATCAGTAAAATTTAAGGAGAAGCCTAACAAACCTGCTCATAGCAAACATCAATTATTCCAGAGCCTGGGTCATCTCAACCATTCCAAGTTCCCCTACTGGAGACTGAGCATTTTTCCCATCTACAATTCCGGGAGCGACAAATGCATACCTGCAAGTAAGGTTTAACATATATAACTGCAATACAAAAACAAAAATTTTCTCTCCATATGCAAACTTATCAGAAATTTCCTTTAGTATAGCAGACAAAATTTTGTTTTTAATTACTCATTCTACTAGAAGAGCTGCCAACAAAAAGTTTAACTTGATTCAAGTGTACAAGCTATTCACTTTATGATTCCCTCTATCCTAAAGTTTTATAATGAAAGTCACTTTGTTTATGTTCGAATTTGATTCAACAATAACACCAGGATAGACCAATATAAGAACACTTGCAACTCCCTTTCAACCCAAAGCCAGCGCAGATTGAAATATCATCTCCATTGCATCTGGAACCTCTGTATTTCCTGAGAAAAACAACAGCACAATCAAGCTCTTTAGTTTTTTGTCTAAGACCATAAAAGGCAGTCCAATGCATCATACTCAAGTGAAAAATGAATAGATTTTTAGGTCATTATAACTCAAATTATAAACAGAAGGAACAGTAATATACAGGAAAAAACTAAAAAGGAGGAATTAAGAGAAGATGTTCCATAATACTTTTTAACCATAATTTTCAAAAAGATCAAGCAAATCCTTTGATAGCTAAAGCATTTTCTGCTAGTGAATTTGTATATACAAGGGAAGTCAATAAACAAAGAACTCAACTTCCAAATATCACAAAATCTGACCAAAAAAAGAAAACATCCCGCAAATCCCCTCATATCAAAGACGCTCAAATCACTTAATTTTTAACCAGTATCTTCAATCAGTTTTTAATGAAACCCCAGAAACATTTAATGATCCAAGAAGAAAACCCCCAAAAAAGAAATCACAAAACTCACCTACATGTCCCTTGCACAGACAAATTTATACAAGAAACCCCATACCCAACATTCAAAATAGTGAATCATCCAACCAGTAATCAAAAAAAGAAGATAAATCCAGTAATCCAATTATTTTTCCTACATTAATAAACAGGGATCAGATCAGAGAAACACTCACAAGTTTGTAGGAATGAGAAATCGCGTTACCTGATACAATTGTATGAATTCGAGATATTAGAAATAGCCGGTCGTTTCGTGGCCGCTCCAGCCTGATTATTCTCCAACCCCATGAATTCGCCACCATTATCAACAATTTTTCATCACCATCTTCCTCAAGAAAACAAGAAGAAGAAGAAGAAGAAATAAAGCCGTTATTGTGAAAAATGTGTGTGAAGTAATATATACCTCAATATTCGAATTAGATATTCGTTAAAAGCGGTCAAAGTTGGGCCTGTTTGAATTGGACTTCAAAGGACCAATTAAATGAGGACACATAAGCTAATTTATTTTCTTGGACATATTATTTATATTAAATGAAATGTATTTGGTAATAAGGAATGAATGTCTGAGCTTATACTATTTTTAGTACATGTGAATTAAGTTAGAATTCGAAAGTAATGTTTGAATTTAAAGTTAAGATAGAGATTGGTGGTTTTCCAACACATTAAGGAATTTCTTATAAATTTTTTAAATGTGCTTCGGGGCATCAAATCCATTGGTTAATACACACGAAAATCAAGAAATTTAGGTAATTTCTAAAAAAAGGTTCGTAAATGCTGAAATGTGCGTTAAATTTTTTTTTATGAGTATATGTGGTGGTTTTCCAACTCATTATGGATGTCCTCAAAATGTTTCTTGAGAAAATTATTGGGTGCTCCGGGGTACCAGATCCATGTGCTAATACACAAGAAAAATCAATGAGTTCGGGTAATTTCTAAAAAAGGTATAAATGTGGAAATAAGCATTAATAAAATGGTGTCAACTTACGTAAAAAGTGTGTAATTCTGTAATTTGATCATAAAAAATAATATTGTCCGGCACTCAATTACATAATAATTCAAGGATAGAAACAAATCTTGCATTATTAATTCTTGCATTATCAATTTTTACATTAATCACTGCTTTATTAATTTTTGTACAAGCGACCGTGAGTGATATATTTATATTTTAGACAAAGGTATATTCAGCATCTATAAGAAAAAAATAATCATGTAAAAGTAGTGTTATACATGTATAAAAAAAAATTAATTATGTAATTTCTTTTTATAGTTTCAACGTAATTAAAACTCTATAATCATAGTTTGCTTAATTATTATTCATAGACATATATTGCTCAATTTTCTTACCCGTAAGCTATGTATTATGCCAATTCTCCAATATGAAGGCTGATCCAGAATGACTATGTTTATCTTATTCATGAGTCATGACTATATGGAACAATTGTTTGACAAGGAATATACAAAGCATTTTTCATCAGACTAACGAATTTCAAATTCAATCAGTAAAATGTAGCCACAAAGGAATACTTTTCATCATTTACAGTTCCCCATCATTTGCTATAAACTCTCGATTTATTCTATAGTTCCAAGTGTATAGTAGTAATCCTCTCTGTCTTGCTCATTTTCTGCAGTCAGGCAAACTCTTGCAGCATGGACCACTATACCCGGTGAATGGAAGAAGAAGGCGAGTGCGCGATCAACAGAGTTAATTTCTCCTATGTCAGCATTATACAGTAAATCTTGGCTATATATCACCAAGTACACCATCAACAATGCTTGTGCAGTGTTTACCTACAACAAGCAGTATTCATATTATTCATTCATTGGACAGAAGTAATGATTTATTGACATGGGAACTGTGTTATAATAGGATGAGTGTGATCACATCCAACTGCTTACCTTGAACGCCCAATGAACTGTGTGGGTGTTAAGCATATCTATACCATGAAAAAATATGCTGGAGCATATTAGAGAGAAAGAAAAAGTCAGACAAGCCTTGTAGATTTCTCTCCTTTCCCTCGTATACTTGGAGGATCCATACCAGATAACTCCAAAGCTAGATGTTGAACCTTCCAAAAGGTCGACAATAAAGCTGGAGGACGAGCAAGGAATGCTTACCAAAGTTAGATATTTTTCAAATTATCAGAATATTCTTCAATAAAGAAGACAAGACAACCAGAGTAATCAACTACTCATGCAGAAGGATCGAAGTAACTGCTATAGAATTTATAATGTAGGAAATGAAAGAACAAGCAAATTGTCTTTTGTCATTTTAGAAAAGACTTCAGGAATCAGTGGTAAATTATTTAAGTTCACTATTCATGAGCCATATCAAACTTTGACAGAAGATATCTGAACAATGTATAGCATCTTTTTAGTCTTACGGTGGATGAACTTTGAAGAGATTTTTGGTAACAAGGCAAAAAGAAGCACCCAAGGTACAGGCTGCATACAGCATTAGTGAGAGCCTCAGCCTCTGCATAGACAGAAGATTTACGATATAAAAAGCGACGTCAATGACAATTCAACAAGCTTGGAAGAAAATCTACAAGACACAGATCACGTACCTCTCTCAATGATGATGCAAAGTAAAGCCAGAGTAAACTTGCTACAGAAGAAAGGACTGTGAACAGCCCTCCCACTTCCCGGTTGATCGAGTGCAAGAGTGATCCAAGAGTAAAGCTCAACATGAAACAGAAGAGAGAAAGATACACCTATATTTTTCAGGAAACTGATCAATCAAAGGAATAAAGCGGAATCCAATACTTAGAAGCAGAACCTAAAAAATCAAAAACAAGACTCTGAAATTGCATGAAACAAAGTAATCCATGTAATAAAAAACAAGACTCTGAAAGTCCAAATTTAAATAAAACAAATACATTTTGGGAAGTTCAAAAGCACGTGGCAATCGTTTCGTTTTAACTATTCAAAAAAAAAAAACTTCCAGGCCTAAATAGGGAGCAAGGTTTCAATACCGAAACTCTACTCGAGTTATCATTTATCACTAACTGCATAGTTAAGTAAAAAAATTCGGTAAAATATTCAGATTAATCAAAATTTATCATGAATCCTGAAGAATTAAGTAAAGCAAGTACAAAAGAAGAGAAAAAATTAGGGTTATACATGTAAGATATTCAGAAAAATCAAAATTCATCATCAATCCTGAATAATCGAGTAAAGCAAGTAGAATGTTGCCTTACTTCTCACTAGAACTACGCGAAACTGTAAAACATATCGGTTCCAAGTAGATCTCTTGATACAGCTATCAGTAACACCATAACGAAATACAAAAATTTCGATTCCTCAATCCCTCGATTACAAGTTTTTCAAATAACAACATTTTAATCAAGTAGAACAATAATTCTTACATTTGTGATCAAATAGAAAGAAAAAATGGAACAGTTAAGAATAAATGTACCATCGTCAAGCTTCTGTAAGCGTACGCGGAAACTTCTCCAGTATTCATCAGGTCTTCTCTTGTCCAATTCCTGTTGAAGTAAGCTTTCACGGCATTCATCTCTGAGAACTTCAAGTTGTTTTTTTTTTTTGCTTCAGAGAGAAAACGAAATCGAAAATTTGGTGAAGAAGCAGGAAGAGTTGTGTTTATAGTTCGTTATATACACAAGAGTTTGTTACAAAAAAACTGCCCCTCGCCGTGGCTCTGTTTGGGAATATTTACAGCTCTACCTTTCAGTTATTGGCTCAGTTTTGGGGATATCGCAAGGGTACTTTTGTCAAAGGAGAAAAAGGATATTCCATCCTTTAAAAAGTTTTAATTAGACATAATTTATTTTGGATTAGATTTCTTTTCCTCCCATTTCCTCATGTTAACATCTTAACACTTATGAGTTATCTAATATATTTTTTTAAAGGTCAAAATTAAGTTAATTTAACAAACATCTTAATTACGATTAAAATATTAAATTTGAAAATCACTTTTTAATTATAGTATGTAAATCAATCTCTCTATATATTTTTTTTGGCAACTTTCACATATAGTAAATAAAAAATTTATCTTTGTATGCTATAGCAAAATTTGCATCATTGCGCTCCATAACTAACTTAGAAACTGTATAATTCGCTGTACATATACAGTTGAAGCAAATTGTATAAAACAAAGTGTATAAAAGAAGAAAGAGAAAAATACTTGGGCAGAGAACTGTATAAAAACGAAATATATAAAACGAATTGTATTATTATAAGTGTATAGAACAATTATATACAATTTGAATTTGTATAAAATAAAAAAGAGAGAAAGACAAAAGAGACTTGACAAGGAATATACAAATTGAATTGAATTGTATAAAACGAGAAAGAAAGAAATTAGATACAATTTGAAAATTGTATAAAACGAAAAAGAGAGAAAGACAAAAGAAACTGGGCAGGGGAGTATTTTTATTGTATAATTATATGTGTATAGGACGAAAATATATGTACTTGCATGTGTATATATAATTTTCTCACGCTTCATACAAACAGAAACGCAATTTATACATTTCGCTTCTGTTTGTATAAATGAGAAAGGCGAGGGTGGCGAGCGAGATCTGGAAGAGGGAAGAGAGAGGAACAAAAATATATGTATTTATACAATTTTCTCTGCTTTATACAATTAAAAACAATTTTTATACACTTGTGTTTGTATAAAAAGTGAAGAAGCGAGCGAGAGATTGGAGGAGAGCGGCGAGCGAGATATTTGGGAGAGAGGCGCCAAACAATTTTTTGCAAACGTTTGCTATGGAGCACAATTAAATCAAACCCTAGCTACTCCATTATTTTAGGTTATTAATTTGCTATTATACACAATTTTTCCTCTTTTTTTTGACACTCATTGATTTTAATTTGTAAATTTTACATTAAAAAAATATAAATTAACTAAATTTTATAGTATCAAATTAATTAATATTTCTATGACATTACTTTTCGCAGTTGTTTATTTGTTTTCTTCTTCTTCTATTTTGCTAAGGTAAATTAGAAGGAAGAGATTTAGAAATATGAAATCAAATGAGTAATTAGAAAACCTTCCCGCCAACAACTTGAGTCTGAAGACGAAATTACCCCTGTCATATAGCCCGTTCATATCCCAAAAGGGAAAATCGCTCCTCATTCTTCTTCATCCCCCATTTCCAATTTGTCTGAAAATCGAAAAGGAAAATATGGATTTCTTAGTGAATGCTGTGAAAGCGTACTTCAATAGGAGCTGGACAAGAAAAGACATGATGAGTTTAGCACCAATTCCCCAGAAAGATTGCACAAGCTTGAACAGGGTAATTTCCACTTTTTTTTCCTCTATATTTGATCACAAATGTTGCAATCATAATCGAGGCAATGAATTCTGGAGAAATCCTCCGCACTGTTACACAGTCTATTAGTTTTCTGATTAAAATGTTGTAATTTAAGTATTCGTGCTAAATCCCCGATTATATAGGTGTATTTGACTCTCTATTGGGCCATGGTGTGCTCTGGTTGTGGATCCTTCTTGCACTTGTTCTGGGAAGTGGGGGGACTGTTACCAGGTTTTTTAACTGTAGCAAGTGTGTTCAGGCTTCACTTTACATCCCCAGAGAGAGTGGTATGTGATCAATGAATCGTAGATTTATTCCAAGTTCATTAGACTGACTACTTTCTCTATGGAAATTATGTAATAAGGAATTGTGAGAACATACAAGTTGTCTATGTGAAATCTGAACAACTTCTTGAACGCAGTTAGCTAAAAATGGCTAGTCGAACCACATAGGTTTTGGACAATCTGAAAATTTCTACTTTCACAGTTCAGAATTTTTATTATGTTTAGCTTATGAACGAGAGTTGTTGAGCCTGACCCTTGCTTGTTTTCTAATGTTCTCTACGTTTGTTGTCAATGATTTGTTCTCTAGATTTATTGACAGCTACACAGCTCATTTGATGTTAAAGGTAAGCAGTTGTATGCATACGCTGCAATGAAACTCATCCTATAACTTAATGTCTTTAGTGACTGACATGATGGATATTGCTTGTGATAGGTAGCCACTATGCTGACATTGTTCATTGGGTACTTAGTGCTATATAGCCAAGAGATACTGTACGATGCTCGCTTTGGACATATCAATGCTGACATTGTTCATTGGGCACACTCACCATCTTCTTCCATTTACCAGCTGTAGTGATCCATGCTGCAAGACTATGCCTGCATGTAAAAACTCAGCGTCGCCCCACACATAGAATTGTTTTGAAAATTTGCCATAGAATAAATATAAAGCAGAATGCAGATGGAGTGTAAATGATGAAATAGTGTTCCTTTGTGGTTACATTTTACTGAATATTTTAGGGCAAATACTGATTGTTGATTACCTTACACATCATTGTTCTTCCTTTTTTCAGACAGTCCATTAGTTTAAATTCAAAATTGAACATATTGATCTGTTACAGTTTCAAGTTTTATTTGAACTTTTGGTTAGCCAATTATAGTATACTTGGCTCAGGTTGACATGACATATTTTTTAAGAAAATTTTAATTAGAGGTATATATGCCACGTCATTTAACAAATGGTGTATATATGCCCTCATCGTCTAACAAATAATATATATTGACCATTTTCTTTAACAACCTGAATTAAAAAAATTAATTCTAAAGTTGACTTTCAAAGTTCTTAAAATAATTAACTCACACATTAAATATGCCTTTTATTTTAGTTTCAATTGTCATTTATGTCCTTCAATTTTGGATGTTCACGAATAGATTCTTTAACTTGTATAAAATTGAACAAATAGACATATCTGTCTTATAAGACATCTTTCATGGTAATTCAATTCCTACGTGTATTATGCTACATAAGAATGAGGCTTAAGTCATCTGCTACTCCTCAAAGTTATGTGCATAATTCACTTAGGGTCCGTTTGGCCATAAATTTTCCAAATAATATTTGGGAAAAATTTGGCAAATAATGTTTGTCCATACAATTTGTCATTATTTGGCAAATATTTTTGGCAAATATTCCAAATTTCCAAATACTAGTTTTTTCTAGTATTTGGGTCAAATCTCATTATTTGGGATATTTTAAAAATTAAAATTTTACCCCAATCTTTTATCTTTTACAAAAACACCTCTCTAGTAGTTGCTTGCGTTGTATTACATTATTTTTTACGTGAACACCAAAATAGTGATGAAATATGTAATGAATATTAAATAATGATATGATCGTTGATGAAAATTATTAAAAATTGACTTTAGATAACAAAGTCATGTACTTTGTCTACTTCACGATGTATAGAATAATTCTTGTTGCACTCACTCCAAATTACCACATTGCTTTAGTGTCATGGACATTATTTGTTATTGTTGTAACGAACATTCAATTGACTTGTAATACAAACTTTTAGTAAGTTTTGATAGTTTTTAAAACTTGTGTGTATAAATCATATTTTTCTAAAAAGGTGAAATATATTTCCTAAATTTTATGACCAAACATTTGTACTAACAAAGAAGAAAATGGGTAGTTTCAGTCAGAGGCGGCTGTGTGTACTAACAAAGAAGAAAATGGGGTAGGATGAACGTAAGATAATGTGTCCAAGTGGCGAAAAATTTGAAGTGGCTAAAGATGATTTAAGTCTTATTTGACACCTCTGGTGCCATGTTGTATATGAATTTTTTTTATTAATAAAAGTGTTCAATTAGAACAAACAGAAAATAAAATGTCCAAATAAAATATGTAGACAACTTTAAATGACGATCGGATTCCATAATTCTAACTCCCTTCCCTCCAAGAACCTGAGTTTATACCCATAAACTGAAAGGTAAAACTATATCCCAAAAAGGGCATTCCGTTGGTAACAAACTCTTCTGTGCAAAACTATAAATAGAACTGACGCTCCTCATTCTTCTTCATCACTTCCAATTTCTCTGCAAAAAGAAAAAAAAAATGAATTTCTTAGTGAATGCCGTGAATTTGTACTTCAATAGAAATTGGACAAGAAAAGACATGATGAGTTCTGCACCAATTACCCAGCACGCTCACACAAGCTTGCAAAAGGTAAATTTCCACTTTTTTTTTCCTCTTTTCCTTCTAGTTGATCACAAATGTTGTAATTTAAGAAATCGCAATCGAGATTTTTCTGTATAGCTGATCAGAAGATGATGCTCATTTGATGAATTTCGGTTCTCCAAATATTGTTGATGATCGAAGTCAGTGTTTTTTTCTACAGTTTCTTGTAGTTCAGTAAGAAATAAGGCAACATTCTGTTTTCCGAAGATGAATTTAGATTCTAAGAAGATTTTGAAGAATTAGCATTTCGAATTGAGTTTTCCCTGTTCGGTATTGAAAGTTGTTTATATGTGAGTATCAAATTCACTTAGTTATATATTATGGTGATGGAAGAAAACATCAATGTTTTGAACAGTTTGATGAACTTAATTAATTTGTAAAGTTTCATATAAGTATTGATTAGTTTTATGAAACTATAGGTGTATCTTGCCCTCCTCTGTGCCATGTCGGCTGCTGCTTGTGGATCCTACTTGCACTTCATCGGGGAAGTAGGGGGGCTGTTCACAGTCCTTTCTTCTGAAGCAAGTTTACTCTGGCTTTACCATACACCACCATGGAGAGTGGTATACGATTTAATTATTCTTCCAAAATTGTTTAATTATTCTTCAAGTCGCTTCTTGTATCGTAAATCTTCTGTCTATGCAGCGAAAGAGGGTTGTGCTCTTGATGTATACTGCATTTTGTGTTGGTGCTTCTGTTGGCCCTTTTACCAAGTACTTCTTCGAAATCGATCAAAGGTAAGACTTGAAAGATGCTAAACATTGTTTAGATATGGTTGTTTTTACTGCTTTCTTGTCATATCATATTACCTTGTCGTTAATTGGTATATATACTTGTGATCACTTTATCTTTGATAATCATTAGATTTGTTTCAATTTTAAAATTCGAGTCTCCTACATGTACACCACTATTCTCTCTGAGAAAATCCTTAGTGTGTTGGTCACTTTCACAAGCACTGGCATTGGATTGGATGCATTGACATAAACATAGTCATTCTATGTTGTGTTCTGTATTATTCTTGCGTGCAGTTAGCTAAAAGTGGCTAGTAGGATTAACGTAGGTTTGGAGTCTGAACATCCCCGTAGTATTTGAAATTTTTTGCAGTAATGACTCTTGTTCGTAATCTGTTAGGCTTCATAGTGGAGAATCTGCATAATACATAGCTTATGAATGAGAAAATTTGAGAATTATGACTAGCAATGAGTTTTAGAATGTTGGTCTGATATTAACATTGAGCTAAATTGATGACTTGTAAGTTGTAACTAAGTATCATGGATTTAGGGGTCTGGAATGGAAACCGGAAACAGTTTTGAACTATATTGGCTTTGAGAACTATAACTTCAGAAATCTCTCTCTCCAGCGCTGTCGTTAGATTTTTGCAAGGTGCAGCAACTGTCTTTGGATGTTTCTGGGTTGCAGCCAAAGAAGAATGGGAAAGGAGCCAAATCTACACCATTGGCCTGTTTTACTCTCTAATGTATCTGTTATTTGGCATTTCTCAATGGACGTTAAAGGTAAGAAAGTTGTGTGCATACAATGTGTTCACACACACATCCTATAACTCAGTTCCCTTGTTCATAAAACAGTAACTTTGCATACAATTTCACTAATTACAATAATTTTGAACTTACTTTACTCTAGTTTTGAACTTGCCTTTGTCTACTGAATGAATGAATAATATGACTGACTTGAATAATGCTTATGACAGGCATGCGTTTTGCTTCCATTGTTCATGGTGTACCTTGTGGTATATAGCCAAGAGATATTGTACGATGCTCGATTTGGAGGAATTGACTTTGTCAATTGCACATTTACCATCTTCCTACATTTACCGGCTATAGTGGTCCATGCTATAAGACTCTGCCTGGTTGCAAACATTGAGCAACGCAGACAAAATTAATGCTGATACACATGGAACTATAGAATAAATAGGGAGTAGTATACAGATGTAGAACTTTGTAAATGATGAAAAAGTATGTCTTTGTGATGACTACATTTTACAGTAAATTCATAGTCTGAAGACAGAGATCAGTCTATTGCCTACTTAACTCGGAAATGAACAGATTTAAATGTTACATCATTTAAATGTGATTTTCGGCATGAGATACTTATCAACTTTTAAAAAATCAGTTGATCTAATCAGACTCCTAATGATTCTCATTATAAATAAAAGAAGTGAAGGAAAACTGTTGTTCACGTTGTAATTTTTTGCAAAAAGACATCACTTAACCAGTTATGATGTGTGACTTTCATAGTCTTAATAGATTTAGATACATAGCATTGCAAGAGTTAGAAGTTGGACGTTCAATTAATATAGTAGCTAAGGGTATGCAATTGGGGTTAGAAGCCTTACGTAATCTTCAAAGTACACTTGTGAAGCAGAACCATCAGTTGCTTATTTTCTACATCATATGAACAAATTTAACAGAAACCCTGTTATATGATAAGCATTAACTCCTATATCATATTTATCATCATGAGTTGTTATTTATTTTCTTTTTTTATTGGTTTGATAATTATTGAAATTGTATTTAGTGGACGTTTGACCATGAAAATAATTACTTTCTCCGTTTTATAAAGAATGGTCTAGTTTGACTTGGTACGGAGTTTAAGAGTATAAAAAAGACTTTTATATCTTGTGGTTCTAAATTAAAGTTAGGTTAAATGTACAAAATTGTCTTTTGATCTTATGGCCTAAACCTGTCACGTGAAAAGCTGAAATTAAAATGTTATAAAAAAAAAAGTCATTCATGTTTTAACAGACTAAAAAGAAAAGAAGGTCATTCCTCTTTAAACGAAAGAAATATAAAGTTAGCATAAAAAAAGAGTGACAAAGTAAGATCCATCATGTTAACCAAATAACCATATAGGCCATTTTAACTCCTCATGATCTACTTTAATGAAGCTCCAAAATTGTTTGTTATATTACAAATGCAAAGAAATTTGTGACTCGAGTCCTACGCTCACAGTTTCTAAATTTATTTGAAGTTCACAAAGAAGAATTTAATCTTTATAGGAAAAACCTCCTGATTGAATTTATGTCCACTCAAACTACTTTTTGAAATTTACTTGAATGGGGATAAAAATTAGAGTCCGAAATTCAAAGGGTAGAAAATATTAACAAAAATTCACAATGGTAAGTGCATTTCAGACGCACCACGTCATTGATACATCAGCACTACATTAGCGTCACGTCATTGTCACATCAGCATCACATTAAGCATATTTAAATCTTAATTTTTAATTATTTTTCTTTTTTTTATTTACTCACGATTTTAAAAAATAAAAAATCTCAAAAAATAAAAATTAATCCATGATTATAAGAAATATAATCTCAAAAAAATCAATTAAAAGAGATTCAAAATCTCAAAACGCACAAGAACACTCAATTTTTAAGATATAAATTAAAACAAATAAATTATAACAACTAAAAATTTAATTTGAAATGAAAAATTTATTGAGTTTCACTAAAAAGAGCTTCAAGTTCATCACATTCAAAATTTGCCAATAAGACTGATTTTAATTTAAAGCAAGAATAAATTGATGATTTTCCTTTTTTTTCTTGTTTATCACATTTTTTTGGGTTTATTGATAGAAATTAAAGGAAATAAGGGTGGGATGAGGCGTCTTGAAGAAGGAGAAAGAATATGAAAAGTTCAACAATGAAAAAAAAGAAGAAGAAAAGTGTGAAGCACCAAGATTCAAAGAGAAATAAAGAGGATAGGAGTGGGGGTTTGTTGGGCGTGGGGGGGGGGGTCGAAGAAGAAGAAAGGGTATGAAGAGATGAAAAAAAAGATTATTCATAAAATGAAAATAATTGTGGTTTTACTTTTTTTTTTCTTTAATTTTTGGTCTTTATGCGCCTTATTTATTTTGACTTGTCATGTTGTATTTTAATTCACTTGAAAAGAGATTAGAGAGGTAAATAGTTATCTATAAAGTTAAAGTACTAAAGTAAATTTTAGTACTAAGTTTAGACGGAAGTTTATGTATTTTACCTAAAAAAATAAATATGAAAATTATGTTGGACAATAAAAATGAATATTGCGTATATTTCTAATCCCGCCAATAAATCCATTTTCTTTAATTGACGAAAGTAGCCCTGTTTTATATATACCCATGTAACTGAAAAGGTAAAACCGTAAATATCCCAAAAATAAATAACGGCAAGGGGCATTCCGTTGGTAACGAACTCTTCTCTGCAAAACTACAAAAAGAGGTGACGAACTTAATTAATTCGCATTTTTCATATAATTATTGATCAGTGCATTACCTACTTTAACTTGAAAATGAGCAGATTGAAATATTTAAATTCTCTCTCTATTTTAATTACCTCAGTTCATTTGTAGTTTTTTTAAATCTATATATATATATATATATATATATATATATAT